GGGAGGTTGCTATTCTGGTCCCTACTTAGGAAGACAGAGGCAAAGAAATTGTTAAACAAGTTAGCTTTGTCATCTGGTGTGATGACCAAGTTTCCCAACGCATCCTGCAAGGGCCCCACATTACCTGGGACCTTCTTTTTACCCCCTGTGTATTTAAAAAAAGACTTCTTATTGTCCTTAATCTGGGAAGCTATTCCCAGTTCCATCTCTGCCTTGGCCTTCCTAACTACCCCCCCTACATCCCTGAGCAACTGCAGAATAGCCCTCCTTGGTGATGACCCCTTCTTTCCATTGGGTGTAAGCCACCTTTTTATCAAGGAGACATTCCCGGATGCTCTTGGTGAGCCATGGGGGCTCACCATTTACAATTAGTCAGTTGTCTAATAAACAGAAATGACTGAAGCTGTAAGACCTATATGTAAGACATATCTCAAGAATTCCCATTTGAGAGTGTTATGTGTGAGAGCTCTTTTTTTTAGAGGAGAACTATAAATAAGACGTTATCTACAGAGAGTCTTAAAGTAAACTTTTCAGTAGGTTTCTTTGCCCAAACCCAGATCTGTAGATCTGCTAGAGAATCTAAAATGGCATAAGCTAAGATTTAATAGCTGTGTCCTCTTCTTCTATCGAGTTCCAAATTTCAGATATTACTGTGAGGAATCTGTTTGCTTAAGGGAAGTTCAGTTTCCAACTTCCTTTGTCATATGCAACAAGAGCTCACAGAAAGGTCAAAACCAGTTCTAAATTTTAGGATTTATGATTATGGATAAACTTGTCTCATTCCTAACCCCTATGGAATCTAAAAATCACTGTTAAGATCCTCTCCAACATACTGACCTCTGTTACCACATCTCACATTGTAGTATTGAATGAGCCACACTATCATTATAGATCTCCAAGAACTGCTCTAATTAAAGCACCAGCATATCTCATGCATCAGTGTCCCCACAGTTAAAAATGGCAGTGGGAGTTCTTGAACTAAAGCTTATTCAACAAGTTTTAGTTCAAGTGCCCCATCACCATTTTTAAATGTGGGGATGCTGATACATAAATGCAGGAGGCTGCTGGAGTGTGGTAATTGCCACGCTCGAGCAGACTCAACTGAGTCTGTTCCAACATGCTGAACTTCTTGTGCATTGGAGTAGTCTCCGTGCTTGTGTATAGGTGCCTTAAGAGATTTGGTGGATCGCAAACTCAATATGAGTCTGTGGTGTGGCACAGCTACACAGAACACTTCTAATACTCCTATTGATGTTTTGGGCTGCATCAATAGGAGCATTAGATGCAAGACATAGAAGGTGACAGTGCCTCTTTACTCAGCACCAGTTAGGCGTCCTCTAGAGTATTGTGTATAGTTTTGGGCTTCATATTTTAAAAAGACATGGAGAAGTTAAAGAGCATCTAGACATAGGTGACAAAAAGGGCATGGAAACAAGCCATATGAAGGAAGATTGAAAAGTCAGCTTGCAGAAAAGGTGCCCAAGAGGGGACATCATAGCAATCTAAAAATATCTGAAGAGCTACCATAAAGAAGAGTGAGAGCACCTTTTTTCCATTGTTGCAGTGAGCAGAACATGGACCAGTGGCTTGAAGTTGCAGTAAAGTAGGTTTACCCTGGGTAGCAAGAAAAAATTCTTCACTGTTAGGACAGTGAAACAGTGGAACGGACTGCCTAGGGAACCTCTATCGTTGGCTATGTTTGAGAAGAGTTTGGATAAATATTCATCAGGGATAATCTATGAGTAGTTATGCCTGGAGTGCTCTCTCAAAAGCAGCAGTTAGAAATTTATAACCTTACTGGATTCCATTGTAAAAGTAGTTAGGGATTTGGGGGGCGTGGGGTTGACTCTACAACTCTAATATGAAGGCTGTTGCAGAATCATTGCTCTAATGGTTAGAAACCTTCTAATTTCTGGTTTAAATTTATTCACAACCAATTTTACCATTTGCTCTTAGACAAACATTGTTCTTCAGCTCAAATATTCTTTCCCTCACTGAGATACATACATTTGGATTTCTCTACATCTCTACTTGTGCCAGAGGATTGGAGAGTCACAGAAGTTTAGGGCTGGAAGGGACCTTGTGAGAACATTAGATCCAGCCCCCCTGCTCTGGGCAGGAAAGACTACTGGGGTCAAATAACCCCAGCAAGGTGTGTGTCCAGTCTTCTTTTGAAGATCTCCAGGGTAGGTGCCTGCACCACCCCTTCTGGGAGTCTATTCCAGAGTCTGGTCACACAAACCATGAAGAAGTTTTTCTTTATATCCAGTCTGAAACCTTCTTCTAGGAGTTTATGACTGTTGCTCCTAGTTTTCCCCTGCGGCAGTTAGATGGGCTAACATACTACCCATCTTTACAAAAGAGAAAAAGGAGAACCCAGGGAGTTACAGACTGGATAGCCTGACTTCAATACTTGAGAAGTTACCAGAGCAAATAATAAATCCATAAATTTGCAAATATATGAAAGAGGAAGGGGTGGCCCTAGTGGCCAGCATAGATTGGTTAAGAACAAATCATGTCAAACCTACTTGATTTCCGTCTTTTACAGGGTAGCTAGTTGAATGGTTGAAGGGAATGCAGTTAACATAACGGTACTTGAACTTTAGTAAGGCTTCTGATATAGTCCCACATGACAGTCTCATAAATCCACTGGTGAAGTGTGGCCTGAATAATAGTAATGCTAATTGGTTGAATAATCACAAGCAAATAATTACTAGTGGATTGATATCTGAAGGGCAGGGATTTAAGTGGTATTCCATAGGGTTCTGTTCTGGTATGACTTGTTTTTTATTAATCACTTGGATGTAGAAATAGCGGGGTGGTTGAGAGAACAAGGTATTTGCATTTAGATGAAAAGAAATTAAGGGGGAGACATGATAGAAGTTTTCAAGTATTTGAAAGCTTCCCCCAAAGGAAAAAAACAATGGTTCCTTGCTGCATGAGGCAGGACATAAAGCAATGGGCTTAAACTGCAGAGAAGCAGTCTCTAGATTAAGTCTCAGAAAACTTCCTTGCTGTGAGAACAGTAGGAAAGTGAAATAACATGCTAAGGAAAGTTATAGAATCCCCTTCATTGGAGGCAGGCAGAATACCATACCCTTTTTCGGAACTCTGCCATCACATGTTCAAGTGAGGGAAGGGTCATGAGAGCACTCAAATAATAAGCGTTATGAGAAGATCCCAGCATTAGAGCTTCACCTCTTGAGCATCCCATGAATGTACAGAGTCCATTTTGCAGAACTTTAGTTACAGGTAAGAACCTTCATATCTGAGATGTTAAATAGCAGTTTTCTTTTTGTAGGCCATATTGGGATGCTTCAAGCTACTCAAATGACACAGGAAGTTACAATAAGAGATGTGGAAACAGAAAAATCTAGATTAAAAGAAAAGCTATCTCAATTGGAAGAGGAAAGAAATCTGTTGCAAAGCAAAACACAGAGTCTGGATGAGAGACAGAGACAACAGATTCTGGCACTGGAGAAGGTAAAAAAAATAGATTTTTCTATTTCAGACAAACAAAAGTCTTACATTTCTAAGAATACTTCTATTTCTACACGAGACAACATAGCACAAAAAGAGATCATAGATTTTAACATCTAATACTTTACCTATATGAGGGGGCAAACAAAGTCAGCAAGCTGGACCTGGCCCATAGAGCTGTATTAACTGACCCATGGATCTCTGAAACAACCCTAGTCACCATGTGGGACTTCATGTGGCTAGACCCAGCACCGTGTGCTGCGTACAGTGTAGGGATCAGTCTGGAGCACATGCTGCATACAGCAGCCATGCCAGACCAGCTCTGTACACTGGCTCTGGACCTGGTCTGCATCAGGCTGTGTTGCAGACAGCATGCAGGGCACACCTCATGCCATGTGCAGTGTGCCCAGCCTTCCTGCCCGTGTGCTGAGTGCAGCATGCGCCAGCCCCAAGGCTTACTCTGCATTCAATGCACCAGCTGAAGCTGGTGCTGCACACAGCACAGGGTTGCCTAGGGTCTGATCCAGGATGGCCCTGGAGCCAGTCCACAGAGTCAGTTCAGTGGGGTGCTACATAGAGCTTGTGTCTCAGACCACTTTGTGCTGGATGCAGTGCTGGGTCCAGTCCGTATGTTGGGTGCAGAGCAAGCCCTGGAGCAGAACTGGCGCATGTTTTATGTGGCCCACAGACTGGCCCAGCAATGCTTATTCAGCCTGCAGGGCCAGATGAGTGTGACACCCTTGCCTCTATATAATTGTAAAAGGTTTTTGAGTCTAGTGTATTTTCTGGTGTAATGTGTTTATGTGTCTTCAGTAAAAATGTTGTGGTGGTTTTTTTGCTTTTTTCACTTTGAAGTGAAAAAAGACACTTAAGCAAAGGTGAGTTTGCAATATTTGTTTGGCTTTTACAGAGGATAAGTGAAGCAAGGGAATCACAACGAGAATACTATGAGAAGGAGCTTATAAAACTGCAAACAAGATTGGAAGGAGAGGCTGCACAGTTAAAGGAGGCTCATTCTAAGACCTTGGAAGAACTGGCATGGAAGCATCATACTGCAATTGAGGCTGCACACAGCAATGCTAACAAGGATAAGAAAAAGCTACAGATAGTAAGTAGAAACAGTTATACATATTCCAAGCACAAAAGGAAAGCACACAGGACAGCTGGGCACTGCGATTGTATCAATTTTATCGTAGGCCAACTGGGCTGTTACGTTCAGTTTCGGATCGAGGAGGCAAAGTTAGGAGTGAAGTAAAGGCAAATTTATTATAGCTTACATGCACACACAACAGTTAACAGAAAGATAAATGCGATAAGCAGATAATGCAGTATTAAAGAGCTAATAGTAAATAACAGGTAATAACAACAGGCCAACTGGGCACTGCAAGGGTATTAGCCACTGGGCTGTTCAAAACAACAGATAGACAGACGTGGGTTGACAACCTATCAATAGTCCCTCAATGCTAGGTGTGCGTCAAGTAATTCCAGTGAAATCAGGCGTCCCCAATTGACACTGTCAGAGGGATTACCGGGGAAGGTCCCTTGATCAGAATCCAGTCCTCACTCACACGGGGGTCCGGGGTCTGGGCGTGGAACAGAAATGACTATTCTGTTCCCTCCTTCCTGCTGATCACCTGATGCATGCGCTTTTTATACCTAGTCTTATGTTAATCTGTTGGGTTTAGAGCCACTCATAATGTTACCCTATAGCTGTTACCCTATGGGATTGAAAGGTGTTAAAATTATCATAAAAGGTTACTACCCAGAGTCGGGTTTATCCAATAAGCAAATTATGATGCAGCACCTTTAGGTTTGAAATTGACATTGCTTCGCCTAAGCCCCAACCCCTCTTAGGTTTCATTTGAATATGCTTTCTTGGGGTGTGTTTTCCTGGAATGTGTTGGCTGTGCCAGGCAGTTGGATCCAGTTTTATCATCAAGACTGAACCCTGAGCAAAAAACCATTAGGTCTCCTAATCTCGCAGCCACAGCTTTGCCTATAGGGCCCAGTCAATTCCACGAAGAGTTAATTTATCATTTTGGTTAAACTTGTCGGGGAATAGCGGCCCCAAGGTCACGGTGGGCCCAGGGTTTTGGTGCGGAACAGGCGGGATTAGCGGTGAGGAGTCTGAGCAGTGCGGGAGATGCGTGTGGTTTCAAATGGTGGATTTTATTTTGACTTACGCTACAAGATGATGAAGCATAGGCAGACGAGCTTGCTTGTTCAGTTACAGTTTGAAATGAATAACCACAAAGGGGTCTGTTGGTCCACGGGGTTCTCGAGCTGAGCCCTTGCTTTCTAGCCCGGGGACTAGGTGCGGCTGCCTAACTCGATAGTCCCAGGACTGGTCAACAGCTCATGGATCAGGAGGACAAACAACAAAACTGTAACGCGAAGAATGATGTGATGCCAGTCCAACGTGGACGAAACAGACGGTCAGTGGTGGTGCCAGAGTTTATGCCGAAGGATGTAGCGATGTCATAGTCGGTGGTCGAGAAGCAGTTCGGGTTAATCAGGATCGTGGTCGGTCGAATGCCAGAAGCAAGGTCAGTAGTTGGAAGATCAGTACGGAAATCGATACAAGGTCGAAAACGAATGAGTTGCGAACCACAACAGTGAGAAGACCGGTGGACCTAAGACTCTCCTGAAGAGCAGTCCCTGCAGTCGCAGCCTCTGTTTTCAGGATCGGGTTGATCTCTCCCTGTGAGACAGTCCCTGCCAAGGCAGCCTCTGTTCTCAGGTCGAGTCTCTCCCTTGTCTCTCCGGTCTCCCCCCCTGCGGCGGGGGCTCACAAGTCTTTATAGCGACACTTCAGCTAATCAAGTTGCTAGGTCTGTAGAATTTTCTCATCTAATTACATCATACTTTTATCAGTGCTGAGCAGAACTGAGCATGCGTGTTGTTACAAAACTAGGTCAGTTGTGATTGACAAGCCAATAGGTCGAATAGGGGGCACATGCTGGGCATGCTGTGGACTAGGCTTGTCTGCACATGTTCAGACCTAACTCTGTGTTATCAGCATACATTCAAAATTTTTGCTTGGACAAAACTTATGACAGACAAGTTACGTTTGCAGTTTACAAACTTACAAGCTTTATATTAACTAATATTACCTGTTTAGGCAAAATACCAAATGCCTCCAAGAAGCACATATTTATTGCTTATTAATCCCTCTGGTTCTGGCCGTCACAAACCTTGCCCATGAGAACTGGTATAATTTGAACTTTGTTTTGGCTGATTTACTCGACTGCTGCTGTATAGCTATTACCTTATACTTACAAATACCAAAGGAAATGTTGGCTTCTTTTTAAATAAAAATTCAAAAAGTGTGTCTCTTCAGTCCATAAAAAGGGAATTAACTGCTCTAGTTTACTAAGGAAATGGACCATTTTAAGTAGATTAAAAGGGCTACAAAAAGCAAGTAGACAGATGATGCACAGCATAGCACTAAAAATCAGTCTGAATCATATGTAAAAATCATTTTAGATGCATGAAACCTTGGCAATTGGGAGCTATGTAGGTTGAATTGAGATGAGCAACACAGGTAATATCCAAACAACCTGAAAATAAAGGCCTGTGTTTAATAGCATGCCATCACTGTGGTTGCTGTGATATTCCTATAGGTTGGAATACTATGTACTTTTCCGTAATGCTCACTGTTCAGACGTCTACAAATGTGAACATCCTGATTCAGCCTTTAGCCAGCTCTTGTCATGGGTTTTTGTTTGGGTTTAAGTGCTGCCAGCATAAATATATTTTTCACAACTCATGAAGGTTATGCATCTCTCTCCAAACAACTGCTCTACCTGTAAACCAACCTTACAGCCCTAGTGTCTCTTTCATCTGCTGTGTAAGGTCATGTGCTGGACCACTGTATCATTAATTAATTTCACCCTAAAGTTATATGTTGAACCTTACTTTAGAGTGTGTCTTTCAAAAATGCCTTAGAGGATTTAGAATCACAGAAAATTAGGGTTGGAAGGGACCTCAGGAGGTTGTCTAGTTCAACCCCCTGCTCAAAGTGTTATTTTGTATCGTTTAACTACTTTTTCACAGCAAGTGAGTTATACTTTTCATGGATGCCTATACCATGTAGTGGCCGTAATGTCTTCCACTTCTTTCCTCCCTTGAATAACAAGATGTATCTTAGTAGACATTCATCCCTTATTCAGGAAACTGGAATTCCACAGACAATTTTTGTTTTAATGGAAAAAGACTTAGAAGTTCAATCCACTGAAAAACAAGATGAAACAAAAATGGGTCTTGTGGACACTCACCTGCATGTAGAGATATCTTGCAGTTACTGGATACATCTTTCTTTATAATGAGGATTATCACGTTCAAGTCAATGTTCTCTTTTATGTGTGTGCACAGACTTTGTGTGTATATGTACACAGACTTTGTGTACACGTGTTTTTGTTCAGGATAATTGAGAACAACTTTCTCTAAAAAGTTGAAGATTGTTACATGTTACCCCTTTAACATTAAGGATTGTCCAAACCCCATTTTGGTTTTTCGTAAAAGTCTTTTTCCCTGCTCAAGAGCTCAGTACATTTAGGGCAATATTAAACCTCCAACAGAACGATAGCCTCTGTTCAGGATGAATCACTCCAAGGGTTTAAGAAACTATCTTTGCTTACAGATTGATCTATTTTCTTGCTGTGAGAGAGATAAGTGGAAAACAGACTCAACATTTTTCTCCTAGCCTCATTATATATGCCATATATATGTTGAATCTCTTATACCAATAAGCCCTTTCAGGGTGTATTAATGGGTTGTGTGTAATTATACACAGTTGTTGCCACTGCCTTATATGCTGTTAATCGCTAAGTGTCTTCAGACACCAAAGTTCAAAAGAAATCTGTTGATGCAAGCATTGGAGAGATTTACTTCCAGTTTATTAAGGTATGGTTCTTTATACAGTTTTTCAAAAAAAAGTTATTTTTGAGTAAGATATTATCTTTCAAATATGACAGATAACTTTTGGTAGAAGGTTAAAACATGACAGATAAACAGCTTTTTGTATCTTAAATATGTTTACTTTGTTTTATATTCTTTTCTCTTTTTTGTTGTAGGTCTTCACAGGATTGAGGTTTATAGCATTCCCTCTCCCTAAGCCCATTTCCCTTTCTAGAATCACTTGGTGACACAAAAGAAGATTTTAGTTCACACTTTTATAAAACTAAATTTAAAATAACGAACAAACGTTTTCTTTTCACTTTTTTTTTTTTAGCTTTTCTATTAGAATGCAAGTTAAAATACGTGAAAGGGACACAGTACAGTATTTCTAATGTGACATTTTAGCTTCTGAGGAAGAAGCAGTTTCTAACAATTAGTCATTTTACTTTGTGCCTTCATGCTGCATCACATAACTATTTTTCTTCATTCTTCATCCCAGCAATATTCTTTTATCTTTATACCCTCACTCAAGGTTTGTCTGTGCAGCACAATGCAATAGTTTGCAGAGACACCTGGGTTGACTGAGAAGTGGAGGCAATATAGCTGAATTAATGCAACACTCTACCTAAGCTAACTAGCTGTGGTGAGCAGTAAGTATATTTATTTGGGGCTGTACCACCACACCACAAGATCCACATAGCTCTGTTGCACTGTGCTGCGCTGTGTTGACATACTGAAAGTCTAGTTCTAGTCAAATTTAACATAGAAGGGACATTTCTTCAGCATCACTGGATTTGATATATGGATATACCATAATTTAAAAAGGCCCAGAAAGCAATTCAGAATATTACTTTGCGTAATTGGTAGGATGACTAGATTTCCCAAGTGTCAAAAAGAGACTTCCTGCAGTCCCACAGCACTCCACTCTGCCAACCCTCCCTCCTCTTTCCCCCAGCCCCATTCTCTGGCATATTCTGCTGGCTCTGAGCTCCAGTTTCAGCTGAGAATGCTGGATGGGTGGAATGAACTGTCTTGCCAAAAATGGGATGTATGAGCACCCTAATTATTGCAGTTCTGAATCGTATTCTAATAAACCTTTGATTGAGAACAGATTAAACAAAAATAGCACCAAAATATTAAAATACTTCAGTCTAAAAGTTTGCCATGCTGAACTACTACTTACATAATGCTAACTTAAATATTTAAAAC